CTTCTCCTGTGCTGGCACTAAGATAAGTTTGCACTTTCTGACTCGGCTCACTAAGAGTGGGGCCTGTAAAGGTGGGACAGATTTCTGTGAGTTACCAGGCACTTACCAAACTCTGCTGCCTTGTCCATCAGGTTTCCTTGAACTCTGTGGTTAAGCAGCATTCAGAATGAATGGATTATCAGTGGGCAGTAGTGCCCTCAAAACGCATGTTAAGCCAGTGCTTTGTTTGGTGCATTGTATGTACCCTCTCTTGCAACAGCAGTAGCATTTGATGAATACAAGTGCTTAAAATGTAACATTGTTTTCCTTACTGCTTCATTTTAATTTATGTTTACTGAATACATTGTGCTCCTTCAGGGAAAACAGCTGAAAGTTTCTGTGCGCCCGCAAGCCCATCCCTGCTCTTCCTGTCATTGATTCACCTGCCCTTTACAGTGGTCTTTTCTTCCAAAAAGTGTTTCCTGCTCTGCCATGAGCTCCTGTATTCCCAGTTTGTAGAGAGATGCAGTATAATCAGCCCTCTTGTCCTGCATATGAGGAATCTCTTGGATCTATAGCAAGGAGTAAGATAAACAGCCAAGATTCCCCTTCTCTGCTAGAACAGAATTGTCGTGGGTGCAAAGCCAATTTTTCCTGTCAGCTCTGCCCGTAAATCTCTGCTGTGTGAGAGCATGAGGGAATGATTTGGCATGAGCACAAAATCATTGGACATATTGTCCAATTGTTTTTATACTTACCCAAGCTTGAATTGCCCAAATTACTGTTTGTAGTTCTCATCTCTTTTTTGTCAGTTTATTATGTCATGTTTGCGCTCACTTCAGCTGGCAATCTATATGCACATTTGTTTTAGTCAGGTTGTTAAAATTAAAATCCTAGGGCTGGGAGGACATTGGAAGAATATCTTACCTATTCCAAGAAATGACCTTTTTTTGTTATGTTTTGGTTTTGGGGTGGTTTTTTTGGTTTTTTTTTTTGTTTGTTTGTTTGGTTTTTTTTAATTTTTCTGTTTATTTCACAGTATAAATCTGAGCATATTCTTGTAGCCCTAAAGTTACCTCTGTGTTTAAAAAATTTGTCTGTGTTTAAATGAATCTTGAGAATGAAATGTCCTCGGATTTTATTTCTATAGGTTCTCAATGATTTGTCTTTTAATCATCAAATTCTGTTTTTATTTAATGTCTGTTTTAGGATCATCTGACTCAAATATCCTCCCACATTTGGTTAACTCAATAGAGAATTTCTAGTTGGCAGTATATTTTTCAATTTCTTTTATTACATGCTTTTCTTTCTTTTCTATTTCCCTAGAAAACTGTCACTTGCATGTATGTTTTTATAATTCACACCAGAAAACATAAACATTAGATGTAAATATTGTTATTGCTTTTACAGACCCTGAACCCTAAATGGAATGAAGAGTTTTACTTCAGAGTAAGTTTCTCTTTATTTGCAGTCATTATTAGAACATGCACAGCTACTCTTGTTTTCTGGTTGTTTATCAAATAGATTGTACAGCTGATCTTATTTTGTATTTGTTTATATGTTTGCTCCAAAGACCTGCTTGCCCTGATGTACTTGCTGTTGTGTTTCTGAGGGGATGGAATGCTCGGCAGGAATTGGCTCCGGGTTCCTTGGAAACTGTTTCCCAATCTGCAATTATATAATTGTGAAGGGCAGTAACTTTGCTACTCGGTTGCAGACAATATTTTTCCAAAGAACAATTGACTTCTAGTGCAGCTGTAGCTCCCACAAAAGCAGGTCAGGCAGAATTTCAGGGGATTTCAAGCATTAATCTCGAGCAGTGCCTGAGGGCGGATGTGGCGGATGGGATGGTTCGGCCGGGAGCTCTGTGGATGGACAGCAGTGCCACCAGTGGAATGTGCCACGGGGAATGCTTCTGGGACACGTGCACCAAACAGCTTTTCTGAGTAATGCAGCTCTAAAATCTCAGGAAAAGGGAATGCACAACACTGCTGCAAAACCTCTGGTATACTTCACAGATGCTCTGTTAAAACATCTTGAATGTCCTCAGAAATAATGGGACCTGTAAAGCAATTTAGACCCTATTCTGTGTGTCACAGTTCTCTGATTTTCTCAAAACTGGGAAGTTTATCTCCAGCCCACAGAATTGTGGTATATTGTTTCTAAATTTTCTTCATTAAACATGCTGGTCATAGTAACCCAGCTTGAAAAGATTTTCTGAAAAAATATATCAACTGGATCAAACATTATAAAACTTGTTTAATAGCAGCTGTTTTGTCTTTCTGACAGGGTTCTTTTTATGTTTGATTTTGTCCTTTTAAATGTTGGCAGTCTTTCTGCTTCAGTTTAAGTAAATAATTTTCTGGGGATATATTTGCTGTTTTATGTGGTGGGGAGATTTCTGCTGGGTGTTCCCAGGGTTCGCCATCCCTAGCTTGCTAAACGGGCTAGGGATGGCGAACAATAGACAGTCAGAAACATATCTGAATATGCAGTTCTGAAGGAAATGCAGCAAAACTCTTGCTCCTTGTAGATCAGTCAGTCAGGGAGCCCTGATAGTCTGTCCTGGGACTGGGCTCCTCTGCCAGGGAAATGCAGTAACTGAGCACAGCAAATAAAAGCTTTCATGTCAACTGCTAGGCTCTTCCCAGTTACAGTAAGGTTCTGGTGCTCCAATTCAAGTAAAGATTTACATCAGACCTGTTAGTCCTGTCCTAATTACCTTGGTTTGATTGCTGCCTGAGCTAGCACCCAGACTGTTATTGTCCAGCTCCTGTACTTGCAGTGACATGTGGATTTTCTCACAGGTAAACCCAACCAACCATCGGCTCCTGTTCGAGGTGTTTGATGAAAACAGACTGGTGAGTGCTTGTCTTAGTTATGTTACACTAATCACAGCTGATAGAAACACAACACAGCCTAGAGGTGTCTTCAGACAGTTGTTTCAGTGAGTGTGCCAAGAAACACAAATAGAGATGTAAAAACCATTTGAGTCTGGGACTAAAAGGGCACTAAAGTCTCAACAGAGTAAATGTGATGGAGCCTCATTTTGAATGCAGAGACTGTGTTGTTAAGTAACATGCTTTAGCTGAAAAATAAGGTAATACCAACACCTGTGCTTTTACAAGGCAATCTCCAGGACCATTGCTGTGTGGAAGCTGTTCACATTTTTGTTGCGTCTCATAATCCATATAAAAAATTGTGGGATTGTGCTGGTTGCTGGCAGTTTGATCAGTTTGAGCTGCCATTGCTCTTGGGATTGGTAATTTTCTGGCTTTTGAAAGCAAGCTGCTGGCAAGCAGAGTTCAGATGGCAGAGGACTGACCCGCCACATACAGGTTTTCAGAGCTGTTGACAAGATTTAGGCTTTTCAGTTCTCGCAGGGAACAGCTGTCCAGGCCCTGAGGTGGAGCTGCGCTTCTGGTTAACCAGAGTTTTTTTTCTGGTATGTGCTGAGAAGTGTGTGCACCCTTCACGTGTGAGTGCCCTCAGGGCACTGAATATCTTGTTGTAGCAGAGCTGATTTAGGGTGGTTGCTTCACGTTCTGGTGTATCCTGTCTGCCTGTCCTCCTGAGCTCTTCTGGCTCTCAGAGTGTAACTGTACTCCGTGCTGGCAGTGCCACGCGTGGTGGCATTGCTGACTCCCTCTCTGGAGGCCAGCCAGGAGCAGGCAGTTCTGTGCAGGGTCTGGGACAAATCGGTACAAACGGACATGCAACACCCAACTCCGCTTTTCTGTCACCTGTACTGCCTGGTAAACCTGGAAAAGGAGCTTTCTGTCTTGCTCTCCTGCATGTTTCTGCTGGTTTTACTGTGTGAGAGATCTTTGCCATATGTATGATTGTTTTGTAATTTGTAGTTGCTCAAAGGGAACTTCAGGTTATAATGCTGTTGGGGATTTTTAAAGGCAAAAGTTTTTTGCTTAATTGCGTTATGAGCATGGTTAAAATGGAAAGCATAACCGTGTGGTATTTATTCCTGTCCTGCCATGACAGCCCAGAGCTGTAACACACCCATGTTATGCTTGAAAGAATTTTCCTCATTTGCATGTGGTGTTGACTTAAACTTTTAACACAAAATGGAAGTGTTCTGTTGTAGTTACATTTTTCTGCAAGTGCTTTCTCCAAGTGTGCCCTGTGAATCTGATGTGGTTTAGATTTATAGCAGTGCTGAGTGTGTTCGCTGCCTCCGTCAGCTGCGAGAGCTTTCCCGCTGGGGCCGCTCCTCCCTGATGGAAAAGGAGCAGCTGGGAAGGTGCTGTTTCAGGCTCTTGCTGGCATTACAGAAAAAAAAAAAAAGGAAAAAACAAACTCCTCACACACACTTACATTGGAGAGGGGGAACCAGGCCACGTGACTCCCACCATCCTACCCTATGTCACCGTGTGTGTAGGAGCGCTGACTGCTCCTGCCCAATCATGCCTGGAATGCCGCTTGCCACTTGGGCTATTTCTGCTATCTGTCGCTCCCGGGGCTGCAGTGCTAACCGTTTGGCAGATGGGACACTTTTTCTCGGAGTTCATGTCTTTGGTTTTTAACTTCTGGCAGTGCCTGAATTGTTGCTGTTCTCCCTCTCCTTTTCTCCTTTCTGTAAAACCATGGCCCATCGGCTGCGGCTTCATTTTGGCTCTGGGAGAAGCAACACAGCCCCCGAATCGGAGATCCTCGCCCGGGAGAGAGAAGATGACTTTTTCATGGCATTCCACACCTTGCCAAGAAGAAGCAGCCCTCACGCCTTCTCGCGGCATGGAGCAGAGGATGGCAGCAACGGAGGCTCCTTGAAGAGGAGCACATCCATGTTTATCCCGCAGCTGCTGAACGGCGTGGACGCGCGCCCCACCAGGAGCTCGTCCATGCAGATCTCGCTGCAGCGCAAGGCTGCCGATGGCTGCGCCGATGAGAGCGCGGCCCCGGACTCTCCGGAGGAGACGCTCCCCTGGAAATTCTCAGACTTCAGGGAGCGTTATGCATCCCCCGCTGAAAAGCGCTCTTCTCCAAGCGCTCCACAGGTGACTGCTGAAAGTTCTTCACCCAGGCTGCTGGAAGAGTTAGGGCAGCAGACAGATGGAACTGTTTGCTGTAACCGTAGAATGTTTTGTAGTGCTAATCCCCAGAGCGAGGAGGCTCTGCCGACTGCCCAACGAGAAGAAGCAAGTCAAGCGGCTTCAGGTTTAAACATAAGTGGTGTGAGGATTCAGCATCGGGCCTCAAGTGCTGAGGTGCCTCAGGTTACTCTACTTCCCCTTGGTCCTGAGGCTCCAAATAGTGCTCCCACCTCTGAACCCCGGCGCTGGTCCTTGCAGCATGTGCCAGATCTGTCAGCAAATTCAGGGAAAAAGTTCTTTGTTCTCCAGTTACAGCAGCCACAGACAAGCAGTGCGGGCACAGGAGGTGGAGGTAACTTTGGCTTTACCGGAACAAAAGGGGACAGATTGGTCAGGTACCCTCGGATACGGCTGGAAAGGAGTACTTCCTACCCCGTCCAGCCACCAGCAGAAGGAATTAGCCCCACAGGTGATGGGCTGAATTCGGAGCTGCCTGGAAACAGCGGGAACAGGGCAGAAATACCTAGAAGCAATTCAGTAGAGCGGATGCCTCAAGGGCAGGGATGCTTGTTTAAAATCAGACCTGATCAAAACATGAGGCAGCAGCACTTCAGGATTCTTGTCACGCGTGGGCCAGAAGAACAAAGTCAGGGTGTTGGTAAGGAGGGTCGTGGCACCCCGTGTCCTGCGGCAGCTGGCACCGCAGTAAGTATGATGCTGGGTGTGCTGTGCTGCTAAAACACAGATTGCCTTACAAAGGCTGCCAGGCTGCAGCCAACTGCAGCACTTCCATTGGTAGTGCTGGAATGTTCTGCCTTTCTGTGGAGCAAACCACAAACCAGCTTTATTTCTAATCTAATGTAACTTTGCTCTCAGTTAAGATTACATCCAGTGTAATATTTTCGGATCTTACTGTCACATGTTTCTTAATTCACTGTTATGTCAGCTGGAAAGATTTTTTTTAAATCAGAGCATTCAAATAGCAAATTAAATGTTCCTGTTAGTTTAGTTGACTGGGATCTTACTGCATGAAGAACTCTTTGTGCACTCCGGTTTTAAAAATCAGAATACTTTGGCACTTTCTAAATGTAATGGACACACGTGTACCTCTACACACTTCCAAAAAAGTATTGTAATGAAGTAGTTGTTAAAACTCTGGGAATCTTAGGGTGATTTCAATCAAAGTACTGACTTAGGTAAGGTACCAGGAAGTCTGAGGAAAAAAATAGTCTTTTTTAGTAAATTCTTATAGTAATTTTTCTTTCTTCCTTCTGGAAGTGAAAAACATGTAATGCCTTTTGTATGCCACAAGTCCGGATCCAAGTCCAAGTGCAAGTGGCTTGGCACAACTCAGTAAACAGTCTTGTTGTTTGGATTTGCCTCGATTTGGTGTTAGGGTGGCAAAATTAATCTTCTGGGTTTGCTTTGTTACAGCAGGTGAGGATTGATGGTCGATGTTTTTCAGCCACTTTTTCAAAGCCCAAAGTAGGAACGAAACTGAAGGGTTTGGATTAGTCATTTGCTTAAATTGCTTTGCTGTGCAATCCAACACGGCCCACTCGAGTTCCCAGCTCGGGGATGCTGTATTTAGCAGAGTGAGCTCTGGCTCCAGCTGTGGCACGGGCTCTGAGGAGATTTCAGGCTCCATGGCTCCTGTGCTCTCAGGCACTGAAATGCAGCACAGGGACAGCTGCTCCCTGCAGCAAGGCCAGGGCTGACTCTGCAGCTTTCCCATGGAAAAGCTTTTGGATGCCGTGTTTTGCCAGCCTTCTTTCTGGGAGCTCTTGAAAGCGTAAAATAGAAAGAAATCCCTTCCTGGTACAGGTTTGGTTCCAGGACACATAAGGGAGCAGAAAAAAGTATGTCTGATTTTCCTTTCCTCTTTATTATCCCTTGCTCCTTTCCCAGATCAGCCATTCATGGAGACCCACTACAGCCAGTTCTGTAAGTAGTTGTGGGGTGTCAGACCCAGCACAGAGGCAGCAGAGGTTTGCAGAGATGTGCCCTGGGTTCTGTGCAGCAGTTCTTATTTTCCTAAAGCATCTCCCCTCAAAATCCCTGCTTTCATCCCCCCTGTAGTAACAGTTCCCATCCCAAGGACATGCTTCAGTGTTCCCAGAGGAGAATGAGGAAATTTGTTCCTCTGTGCTCTTGGTTTGAGTGACCGTGAGGAATGGATTGAGGCAGCTGTGCAGCATGGCAGGCACAGAGGTGCCCAGCCCATGTGGCACTGCATCCTGCAGGGCAGACACTCTCAAAGGAAAAGAACTAACTGACACTTAAACATTTTTGGGGTGTTTCTTATCCTTGTAGTAAATCCAGAAATACTGTGGGTAGAGGTGATGGACTGGGCAGGATGCCATGGGAAGTGGGGGGGGATTGGAAGCGTTTTGGTGCGAGTTTAGTTGCATTTTTTGACCACAGAACATTACTTGTTAAGGTGGCATTTTTAATCTGCCCCACAGAAGTTTGTTTGAAAGATCTATGATGTGAGTAAGGGAGTGCCTGAAATACCTGATCTCTTGAGCTGAGGGGAGAGGTTGCCATGGTTTATAGTTGATAGTGTGAAAGAAAAATAATTGTGGTGTGTCCCAGTGCAAGAAGTTTATGTGGATGTGATTGATATAGGGCCTGGGCCGGGGCTGGGAGCAGCAGCTGCTGCAGCCTGATTTATCTCAGAGCAAACATCCGAGCGGGCGTCTGCAGTCCTGCTGCTCCGAGTGGTTGTGACCTTTCAAATATCTGCTGTTTTAGACAAGTGCTTTGGGGCAGGCAGGATGTCTTTCATTACCAGACAGGGTAAAATATTAAGTAAAGGCTACGCTCATGTCAAGCTGTGAAAAATTTTATTTGGAAGCCTTGTTGCAAATTCTTTTGCCTGCTGTGATATTTTATATGCCGTGCAATAGAATGTCTGTGCACTGTGCATATCCCACATACTGCTGTTGTTTATCATTGGGGGCTGTGAGTGCAGAGCTGGATTTGTGGGAAACACTTCAAAAATGTATTGGACAACTGCTGGAGAGAGCTGACAAAGGCATCTTTGTGAGCAAAAACCAGCGTGCCCTAACAAAGTGTTGCAGGAGTAGGACTGAATTATATTTAGTAAACAAACAGAAGTGGCACCTCTGGGTTTGGCAAGCCTGCATTTCTCACAGCTCAGCTCTTCCTCTCCGTTCTTCGAAATAATTTTAGAATAAATATTGCTCCTGCTTCAGGGATTGCTACCTGGACCCCTAACAGGCATTTCTAGGAAATAATCCATGTGGCCATAGCTGGAGGTTTAAATGGTTCAAATGAATAGTGCAGTGAATTTCCTGGCTCTCCACTTGCTCTGCAAGGAGTGCAGATGGCCAGCTGGAAAGCCTCTGCTCTCTGCAGATAAGGACTTTGTTGACAGCTGCAGGTAGAGGATGATGAATTCCATTCCTTGGGTCTCTGTTAAGGACAAAATCAGTTCTTCTCAACCCGAAATCACCCTTCTTGATTCTGGTGTCCATCAGCTTGCAGGCTGTTCTGGAGCCCTCTGGCCGTTGGGGAGGGCGCAGGTGGGCACACTCAGACCTGGGCAGAGCAGGATCTGGTTTTCAAGGCAGCAAGTACCGAGGACCTGAATAAATTCTACCTTTTTTCTTCTCCCTCTCTGGGTGGGAGACAGATAATTCATGGCAAGTAGTGTAAATTAGCTTGCAGAATTAAGAAGCCCGTCTGTAACTTTTAGTCAAGTTTTCAGAGAGTTAAGAATTGGCAATGCTGTCTTTTTACCTCATCCCTCTGCATTCCCAGAGCTCCCTGGGATTCTGAATTTTGTGTCAGGCATTTTTCTTTTTCTCCTTGAAAACTGTATCTGTTGGTACTTCTCTGTGAAGAAACCAGAATAAAACTTGGAGTAGCAGAGATGGAAATAGTATCACTTTTTAAAATAGCAGTAATAAACTCCTTGCTCCTGCATGGAAAATCTGTATGTGAGTTTGGGTACACAGCAATCTCTAAAGTGGAGAATTTATAATGGAAATGCTGACACGGGTTTAACGCTGCAGGTGCCAGCCAGAGCTGCCTTGCTGCAGATCTGGCCACAGAAAATTACAGATAAGAAAGCAGAGAGTCTTGATTGCTTTTTGTGCTCTTCAGCTGGTTTTCTATTTGAGAAAAGCTGTCAAGTAATGATGAGTTTCAGAATGTGCATGTTTTGTACACATATACAGAACAGAAGTTCTACACACGAACTGAAGTTTTTAGTTCAGCAGCTATTCCAAAGCCAAATCTGTCCTGTTTAGTTAGTTTCCAGGTTAAGTCTCATTGTAAAATACATTACTGTATGTAATGTCTTCATCTGAAGTCCGGGGTGAATACCAGGATGACATTGGGAGCTTCCAAAAGTCAGCAGTTATGTACAGAAAAATAAAATAAACTGGCATTATGACCAGCCAGGTTTTTGTCTCTGAAAGGAATGAAAAAATTAAAAGGGTATATGGGAGAAGCTTCCAGAGCTGAAGGCAAAGGAATGAGTTGCTCAAATGAAATGAAAATTGCACTTTGTGCTGTGGTGCGAGTCCAGAGCTGTCAGTGCTTTGGTGGGAAGCTGCAGCTTCCCTTTTAACCTGGGATTTATTTTAGAAAATAAATCTGATGCTGACTCTGTGTTGATAGACACATGGTAAGAGCAATCACAATCTCTTCTTGTTTCTGCCCTTTTTGCTCACCAGTGAGTCATGTGCTGTCATACCTACAGCATTAAAAAAAAACAGGTAAAATGAGAAATATCAGGAATTACCCTGCATGTAATTTAAAGCATAATTAATTATTAGCTTGGATGTTATCCGGGGCCTAAGTATACTTTGTGAGTCAGATCTGTGCATAAAAATTGCATAATGAAATAAATTCTATTTCCATTTTTGAGCAGTTGCCTTGTCTCTGAGGTGAGGCTGGATTCCAGCAATTTTTGAAGGGGTTTAGTAACACATGAAGTATGAAAAAGAATCATAAAAAGTAATCAGTTAATTTGCGGTGACATTATTTGAGGTCTATTACATGTTTTTCATTTACTGTGTAAAATACCCGATTTTAACTGAGCAAGTGAAATACAATTTTCTATTGTTGTTTGCAGATGAGGGGAATGGCACGCTGGCTGAGTAGGGAAATCCTTCCAGGAAACATTGCACTGTGGGAACTGGTCTTAACAGATTTGTTTTGGTCTGATGTCACCATTTTTTAATATCTTTTTGGCCTTGCAGCAGTGCCCCAGTGCAAATGTCTTACAGGAAAGCAAACCTTACCTGCTTTATATTTAGTGAGGGAACTGAAATCAATCTACTCTCGCTCTTGCCATCCCCCCAGTAAGCCTCACAGTGTTTTTTCCTTAGGGAATTAATATTGCATTGTGCTGGGGTATTTTGTTGTCCCTTCACAAAGGTTCAGTTAAAAAGAGGAGGGAGAGAAGAGTTTCTGTAGGGGCTTTGGTTGCTGTCCCTGTCTAAGCTTGTAAATCCTGTGAATTCAGTGTAATTAGCCAACTGCCCAACTTTGGCCAGCCTGTACGAAAGAATGTGAAATGCTTTCCTTTCCCCTTGAGTAGGTGCACCTTTATCCCACTGTGGGACCTGAGTGGATGTACCTTTATCCCAGGGTAGGACCTGAGTGGATGCACCTTTATCCCAGGGTAGGACCTGAGTGGATGCACCTTTATCCCAGTGTAGGACCTGAGT